CTTCTGCATCTGAAACTTTGTTGTTAGGTAGGATTTACTGAGTTTTCAGATGTATCTTAGGTAGGACCAGAATGGGCAGTGGAGTACACACATGTAAAATCACAGGATCTGACCAGGTGGGTGGTTCACACCTGTAATCCTAGTACTCTGGGAGGTCGAGGCAGAAGGAACCTTTGAGCTCAGGAGTTTGAGACTAGCCTAAGCAAGAGTGAGACCCCATCTCTCCTAAAACTAGAAAAATTAGCTGGGTATTCTGATGGGTGTCTGTAGTCCCATCTACTTGAGAAGTGGAGGCAGGAGGATTGTTTGAGCCCAGGAGTCTGAGGTTGCTGTGAGCTAGGCTGACACCATGGCACTCCAGTCTGGGGTAACAGAGTGAGACTCTGTCTGGAAAAAAAAAAATCACAGCATCTCAAAAATCAGAGACTTAGTTACTTTCAGAGGTTTTCTAACTGGGGTCTCTATTTTTATTTTTCCCCATGAATTCCACGAATATCGGTTTGCCAAACTTTCAAAGTGATGAGAACAGAGTTCCTGGGCTAAATCCAACCCGTTATCTGTTTTATAAATAAAGTTTTATTGGAACACAGCTGAAAACATTTGTTTATGTGGTCCATGATTGCTTTCATGCTTTAACTGCAGAGTTTGACCAAGATGATAAAGCAAAGTCTGAAATCTTTACTATCTTCCCATTCACGGGAAGGGCAAGAAAAAGCTTGCCTATCCCTGGTATCGTGGCCATACCATTTCTCTTCAAGTTGGTTTTGCTTAATAGCACTTGGAATTTTTCCCTCCTTTCCTCTGCTCTTCCTCCCCTTCCTCCAGTCCCTTCCCCTCCCTTCTTTCTTCCTTTCATCTGTTTTTCCTTCTTTCCTCCTCTTCTTCTCCTCTATCCTTTCTTCTCTATCTGCCTCTCTCTCCCTTTCCCCTCTCCCTCTCTCTTTTCTCTCTTCCTTTTCCAATGGCTAATGGTAGTTGGGGAAGGAGCAATCTAGAATGACCTAAAAATAAATGGCCTCATGTGATTATAGGACACTTTCCTGTTTATTCCCCTGTTTTTATAAATGAAAAACTTTCATGAAATCCTTTAAACATACAGAAAAGCATAAAAAATAATATAGCAAACACCTTTATATCTACCATTCAGATTTTATGGATCACAGTGATTTATTATTGTTTTTGAAAAAAATAAAGATATAACTCAGGGGTTCTCAACCTTCCTAATGCTGTGACCCTTTAATACACTATCTTCATGTTGTGGTGACCCCCAACCATAAAATTATTTTCGTTGCTAGCAAGGAAGGTTGAGAACCACTGATATAACTGAAGGCTCATCTGTACCCTCCTTGGATCCTATCTCCTTCCTTCCTAAAAGATTTGAACTTAGTGTGTCTTCTTCTGATCTATGTTTTTATATTTTTTATTAAGTATTTTTGTATAGCCATATATCCATAAAAAATATATTGTGTTTTAAAATTTCTTCTCCTTCCTCCTTTGAAATTATAAGACAAATATAACCATGGCATTAAAAAAAATCTTGCTGTGTGTAGGAAGCCCCCATGATCTTATAACTCTAATACAAATATTTTTATATTTTGGCTTTGCCTTCTTATGTGTCTTCTTTTATAGAGTTGCAATCAGAATATAGATGGCATTTTATTGTCTTTCTCTTCATCCTTGGCATCAAACTTTAAACATTTGTTCAGTTTCTATTTTTAGCATTTAAAAAAAACTTTATTTTATTTATTTATTTTTGAGACAGAGCAAGACTCTGTCATTGGGCTAAAGTGCAGGGGCATCATTGTAGCTCACTGCAAGCTCCAACTCCTGGTCTCAAGCAATTCCCCTGCCTCAGCCTGCTGAGTAGCTGTTTCTGCAGGAGACCGCCACCATACCTGGCCCAGGTATATACTTTCCTATATTTTGTAGAGTCAGAGTCTTGCTCTTGCTCAGGTTGATCACAAACTCCTGAGCTCAAGGGATCCTCCTGTTTTGGCCTCCCAGAGTGCTAAAATTATAGGTGCGAGCTACCATGCCTGGCCTTTATAATAATAATAATAATTATTATTATTTTTGAGTCTCACTTTGTCGCCCTCAGTAGAGTGTCATGGTGCCACAGCTCACAGCAACCTCAAACTCTTGGGCTCAAGTGATTCTCTTGCCTCAGCCTCCTGAGTAGCTGGGACTATAGGTGCCCGCCACAATGCTGGGCTATTTTTAGAGACGGAGTCTTGCTCTTGCTAATCCCAAACTCCTGAGCTCAAGGGATCCATGAAAAAAAAATTCTTTTTGGTTAAAAATGGCCTTGTTCTCTGCAGAAAATATTCCAGAAAGGAGGTCTTTTACTTTTTAATGTTGATATGGAGATCAAAATAATGCATCCTATGAAAGCCCTTGGTAAACTCCAAGTCCCCGGATGTGAAGGCAAAACCCCTAGTGAGGCAGAAAAATATTTGGGCAGTCTGGGACCATCAGAGCACTTGGGCTGAAATGGGTTTTCTGAGTTGGAGTCACCTGCCTGAGCTTAGTGGAGGTGTCCCCAGGCACACTCCTGCTGGCTTTTGGGGTTCCAAGTACAGAATTCATCTCTAGAGTCAGGAATGACTCACGGAAAGAATTTGTCCTAGGTATCTTCAATTCACGTGGTAGGTTTTTCTTAGAATTCTTTATCTCTGTTAGGTGGATAAAGAATCTCACAAAAAAGATTTTTGTGAGCTCAACACTTCTTGGAAGCCTTCATAGACTTCATTTCTAGCGTTATCATAGAGGCTATGTGTTACCTATGACTAATGACTAATATTAATGCAATATTAATGAGGATATCATGGTGTACTATGGCATGTTGTCATAAAGCATTAAAAATTAACTACTCTGGAGAATAAACCAACCAAGGGCATTTTCAAGGCAGTGGCAGCCTTGGAATCTTTTTATAGCACATTTACGCCTATTAGTGCATCCACCAAATCCAAAGTATGTGCATTTAGCAGAATTCCATTGTAATCAAGGAATGGGGCCCCACTAATTTAGTTAGCTCTATGTGATTATGTAAAGGCCTGGGAGGAGAGTGACAGCACTATGAATATTCATTACGCTTTCAAATGGCCCAGTGTGCAAAGGCTCCTTGACCTTCTGGGAGGGGAAGGCACAGCAGAGGCACTTTGCTCTTCTGGGGCCACTGCAGAAGGTTGGATAGGGTCAGTCCAGGGCCTAGAAGGGGAAGGCTTTCCTGGACTGTAGGACTTTCCTGCTTCTAGCCAGTGAGAATCACAAGGCCCTGGAGCCAGGACTTCCTGTTTAAAGATAAGGACACTGAGAAATGGAGAGGCAAAATGTTTTGTTGGAGGCACTCATGGCAATACTGGGCCCCTGGTCGTGCAGGGGTGTCTTTTTGTAAGTCATCATCTCTCTTCTCACCTCCTGGCCCTTAGGTCCCTTGGGTTGAGAGAATCTGCAGGGGTGGTCTGAGAGGACCAGTGCTAAGGTCCTGGGGTCCTCAGAAGGCCCATGTTGGGGGAGGGGGCTGACTCATATTCCAGGGTTCATGCATTAGCATCTAAGCCTGGAGTCAATATTAGACAAGCTTTCTGTTCCTAGAAGGAAGGGAAGAGTCTGTTGGGAGGGGCAGGCGTGTATGGTAGGGTACTTTAGCCACTAGAGGGCCCCCAAGGAGCTGCAATGGGATGGGGAAGGGGGATGGGATTAGAGAGGAGATTGCAAGAGATTGAGTCTAACCCTGTTGGTCCATTCCTCAGGGCTCTGACTGGTTACCCTTTGCATGCCCTGAAATGTGTTAGGTTTGTGCAATGAAACAGCTTGTGTATTCTGTCTAGGGGAAGTTTAGTGTCTTTTGCACCTGGAGATTTGAAAACCAAAGATTCACCATGATCATCCCTTAATGCTATTCTTGTAATGAAGGAATGGGACCCCACTGAGATGGGCCTTCTGAGGACCCCAGTGTTGTGGAGATGACTTCAAAGTTTGAGTGATCCCAGAACTCTCTCCTGGTTTGTATTAGCAATGGCTCTGTCCATCCAGCCAGGTAGAAAGTTCATATGGGATGGTTAAATGAGAACTGTGGAAGAACTGTGTCAAGAACATAACTGGGGAATTCAGGAGTGAAGAGGGAGCAAATTCTCCTGAAAATTACGCCAGATAATTGGAATAAAACCATCTGGTGCCGAGCCTGCCACGTAGGGGTGCCTGGTGATGCTCTGGTTGTGTTTGAGTCAAGATGGGCTGGAGAGATAAATCTGTCATCTTGCTGAAGTTTCTCTCCACTCCAGGGTGGAGGCAGGGTTACCACTCATGGACTTGCCAGCACTCAGACTTTTGGGAGTAGATATGATAAGCCTGGGTACGCTGATGTGTAGATGATGGATAATAGCTTGTAGTGACAGTCTACAGGTGGGTTGGGAGGAACTTCAAGGTGTTAATAGTTGTTCCTTGGCAAAAAGAATAGTTAAATGAGTTTGTGAAGCTCATGTACTGTGTCCTTTCACAATAAAAGACTCAGAGAAGTTGCATTGCAAAGAAACTACCTTAATTTTGCTTAATTTGGCATTTCACAGGACCTTTTGGACGACATCCTTTTCGTCATGGAATACGGATTATCAACTTGAATAAAGCTTGCTTAGAGACTCAGGAATAGATTCTAAAGTGTAGTTTTTCTTTTGAGACAGAGTCTCACCTTTGATAGAGTGTCATGGTGTCACAGCTCACAGCAACCTCAAGCACTCAGGTTTAAGCAATTCTGTTGCCTCAGCCTCCCAAGTAGCTGGGACTACAGGTGCCCACCACAATGCCCGGCTATTTTTAGTTATGGTTGTCGTTGTTGTTTAGCAGGCCCAGGTTGGATTTGAACCTCCCAGCCTCGGTGTATGTGGCTGGCGCCGTAACCACTGTGCTACGGCACCAAGCTGAGACTCAGGAATATAGAGAGCACAGACCCTGTGGTCAGCTGGCCGCTGTCTTTGCTAAATTCGCCTTTCCTCTCCTTCCAGGCTGACATCTTCTCTGGGGCCATATTCATCAACCTGGCCTTGGGCCTGAATCTATACCTGGCCATCTTTCTCTTATTAGCCATTACCGGCCTTTACACAATCACAGGTGAGTTCATTCACATGCACCCAGAGAATGGTGTGTTTGCTTGGTCCCCACTCACAGATCCTACAAGTTATATGAGTGGTCTCAGAAAGCTCTAGTATTGCCTGGAGTAGTCAGGACAACTTCTTGCAGGTCATACAGATGACTTGGCTAAGTCAGGAGAAGCAGGGGAGTGCTTAGTGCAGGAATGAGTGAGAGCAGGGGAGTGGAGGTGGATAGCTTGGCTGGTGAAGGGTGGTTGCGGGTTGCCTGTCTGGGGATGGGGCTATAAGTCTTGATAGTTCAAATGAGGTCAAGTACACTGGCCAGATAGAGGCCTTGGATTTGATGTGTCAGGGACTGGGAGCCATTTTAGGGAGGGAGAAAAGAAGTGACCCATGTAAAGAGGTTTTAGTAAGGAAGACTCAAGAGGTGACCAAAGAAGCTGGTGTGTGAATAACAATCGGGGCCTCTTCTGCACCAGTTTACTCTGCCTGGGGTGGGTGGGTGGGGGACTGAGGGCAGGATCAACTAGCTGTTCAACTAGAGCCCTATAGTTTTGGGAAGAATAAATTACTGAGACAGTCTGAGAAAAGAGAAAGTGGACATAGAAGTAGTTCTTCAAGACGTGCCAATTTGCTAATGTCCCCAGACCTCGCCAAGGTCTGGAGAGCTCTTTGCTCTTCCCTGGCCTCATTTGTAGAAGATGTTTCCTCTTTTTGTAAAGGAGCCACCTGCTTTGAGCTATCTCCTGCCATAAAAGGGCTACACTGGGCTCTTCCCCTTCAAGAGGGAGAAATATTCTCCTCTCCTCAGGGCCTTGCAAGCACCTCTCTGAAAAGTTGAGGTGTGGGGACATGCTGAGTAGCAGAGTACTGTAACGGGACTAGGGAGGAAGGGAGGAGAGGCAAGGGGGTGACTGAGGTGGGTTCTCAGAAAGTGTGCCCGAGGCAGAGGTGGAGGGTGGGAAAGGAAGCAGGCAGGCGGGTAGCTCTCTATGTGAGGTCAGATGTGTTGTCTCCTTGCCTCTGTAGGGGGCCTGGCAGCTGTGATTTACACGGATACCTTGCAGACAGCGATCATGCTGGTGGGATCTTTAATCCTGACTGGGTTTGGTAAGTGGGGCCAGGGCAAGCTGGGAGCAGAGGTAGAGGGCCTGTGCCCTGGAGGCAGAAAAGCTGGGCTGGCCTATTTACATGTCATGAGTCTGGGCAGGGCCCTTGGGTACATTCTGCCCTCCCAAAGGGAGTGGCCCAGCCCAGATTGGCCGTAATTGTGGGCGTGCTGGGGTAGCTTCCGCACCCCTGGAGGACTCAGATTAGGGCAGGCCCAGGGCACATCTGGATTCCTTGCTGCACTCTCTTGGCAGTCTGGGCCTGTGACAACATGGTGTTCACTTTGCAGTGAAACTGGATAAAAAAAAAAAAAGAGAGAGAAAGATAAGGCTAAATATCCATCAAGCTAAATCTATTCAAATGTTGCATCTTCAATCTCAGATTATGTCCTGTCTACGTTTTGATGTTACACGTCATTTCTTTTACGAATGTTGACAGTAGGTGGTAATTTTTCTTTTAACATCCTTATCTGACAAAATGAAATACATGGCTGCTCAACCTTGGCCCTCCCAATTTTCGAATTATATTTGTATGTGAAATCTTAGATCAGAAACCCTATGTCCAAGGATAATAGCTATGGGAGGATACAAAGAGTATTTTATCTTTTGGTGCAAGGACCCTCTCTGGGTGTCCTGCAAAGATTCTTTTCTGCTCTCTACTCTTCTGTGTCCCAAGAACTTGCATTTGGTTTTCCCCAGGAGGCCCTGGGGTGGGTCAGGAAGGCAGGGGCTGGAGTGACTTCTTCAAGAAAACATAGCCGGGAGGTGGCAGAGCTCTGATTTCTCACCTATTTTCTATCTCACCACACTGCTAGGACCAGGGATGGTAGGTCCGTGTCTGGTGTCCCCAAGACTACTGTATGTCTTCACGTCCAAGTCTAGAATTCTGAAGGCTATGGTGTCTAGAATTCTGAAGGCTATAGCTAACCACTGGGGTTAGGAGAAAACAGTCTTTGCATATGTAAAACCGAGGTCTTCCCTTCAATAATTAAAATTCCTTTCACAAGTTACTGCTTTGGATTCTCATAGTAGCTCCTGAGAGCTTACTTAATCATCCTGTTCTAAGGATTAGACAGCCGAGGCCCCAGCATGGGAGAGTGACTCACCCAAGACCACCTAGGAGGGCTCTGTCTGTTGGTTGGGCCCTGTCTGTTATTCAGGCATCCACATAAAGAAACCTCTATAAAGTGTTGAATGCTTATTGTTCCACTGATGTTTTCCAGCTTTTCACGAAGTGGGAGGGTATGACGCCTTCATGGAAAAATACATGAATGCCATTCCAACCTTGACTTCCGAGGGCAACATCACCATCAGGGAAGAATGCTACACCCCAAGGCCCGACTCCTTCCACATCTTCCGAGATCCCCTCAAAGGAGACCTCCCTTGGCCGGGGCTCATCTTTGGGCTGTCCATCCTCGCCCTGTGGTACTGGTGCACAGATCAGGTGCCCAAGCTCTTTGTGCAGGGTGGGCAGGGTCTCCCCAGGGCACTACAGGAACTCCGGTCACTCTGTGGCTTGAGGGGTTAAGGGAGGGAGGGGAAGGCTCACGTGGTCTGCAAATCGTGAGTCCTGGCCACACAACAGTCTGAGAGGACTGAACATGGAGAAGCTGGGGTAGCAGGAGGGTGTTCCAGCCCTCACTCACTGGGCTTTTCTTGACAGGTTATTGTGCAGCGCTGCCTCTCGGCCAAGAACATGTCCCACGTGAAAGCCGGCTGCACCATGTGTGGGTACCTGAAGCTGCTGCCCATGTTTCTCATGGTGATGCCGGGCATGATTAGCCGCATTCTGTACACAGGTGGGGTCTTCTGGCCATGCACAGGCTGCTCTCCCTCTCTCTCTGGCTCCCAGTGTCTTCTAAAGTTCTGTAGTTCTTTGCTCCCTTTCTTCTGCCTCTCCTTTTCTTGGCAGGATTACCAGTCTTATCGCTCCCTTGCTAGACAGTGAGCACCGTGCGGGCACAGTACTTTTTTTTAAATTATTTTTTATTAAATCATAACTTTGTACATTGATACATTTATGGGGTTCAGTGTACTGCTTTAATATACAATGTGAAAAGCTTACATTGAACTAAGTAACACATCCATCACAATTATACTCATTTCTTAATAGTTTTGAAATGTACCATTGCATCATGCACATTAGGTGAGGTCTCCCCAAATATCCTCCCTTTTCCCATATCCCCTCTCTCCTCCCCTTTCTTTCCTCTTTCCTTCTACTTTCTGGACTATAGTTATGTTTTTCCATTCATATGAGTGTGTAGGTGATTATATATTGATTTCATAGTAGTATTGAGTACGTTGGATACATTTTGCCCCCATTCTTGAGATACTTTACTAAGAAGAATATGTTCCAACTCCATCCAGGTAAACATAAAAGATATGAAGTCTCCATTTTGTTTTATGGTTGCATAGTATGAGGGTATAGAACTTTTGGAGTTATCTTATCTGGTTTCTTACGTTGGCAATTGTTTTGTCCTTTCCCCGCCCAAATCTTCTAAGGTCATGACGTGCCTCCAGGTCACTTCTTCCTGCTCACATTTGCTCAACTGTTGCTCAGTCTTGAGCTCCTTCCCTTCTCACCTGAGAATTTTATTGTTTCTCTTCCTCCCTTGCCCAGGAACTGTCTCCCCCTGAACCCCTGTCAGGGCCCACAGGGCAGGGGCAGGCGTGGAAGGCAGAGCTGTACCCTTTGAGGAACAATTTCAGGGTATTGAGCAGAAATGTCCTAATTGAATCCTTGTTTTAAGAAGGTGAATTTTGAATACTTAACCTGGCAGGTGAGATACCATGATTGCGAAGGTTGTTTTCCCAGGGCGAGGCTTATCCACTGCACTCTGGATGTGCATAATTTGTGGTAGTGGTGGGGAACTGCATTTGTGCTTTCTCCTGATAAAAATTTTAAAAAGAATAAAAAAGATAAGAAGGTGAATTTTGGAAATATTTCCCTAGTGTCTGCCTGGAACTGTCTGATGTGACTTTTCATCTCTCCCCAGAAAAAATTGCCTGCACCCTCCCCTCGGAGTGTGAGAAATATTGCGGGACCAAGGTTGGCTGTACCAACATCGCCTACCCAACCTTGGTGGTGGAGCTCATGCCTAATGGTGAGATTCTTTTTTGGGAAGCTGGTGTGGTCTTTCTTGGGAGGGCAATTGGTGGAGCTCATGCCCATGGTGAGAGTCTTTCTTGGGAGGGCAACTGGATTAGGCATCACCTGGGTTTCTATGCGCCTTCTGTGGCAAAGCCATTTCTGAGCCCTGGGGCTTGGGGTGGGGTCTGCAAGGTTCCTCAGCCTCTGAACATGCCTTCTCTCATGGACAAGGAGACATAAGGCTTATTTAGGCCCTGTGTGTTCTGCACCTTGCCTGTCAGTCAGGCTTGGGAAGGAGATGATCTTGTTAGGGAAAAGCATGACTATTTCGTGCCCATCTAAAAGGTCTTTCAAAGCTTTTCAAGGGATGTGAATTGGTACAGTCATTATGGAAAGTACTATGGAGGCTCCTCCAAACTTTAAAAATAGAACTATCAGGAAGGAAGAGTGTCCAATGTACTCAGTACTTTTATGCAACAAATTTATAATTACTCACACTTTCTTATGAAAGATAGCCCGAGATAAAGGAGAGAAATAGAGGGGGGTGGGAGGGGATGGAGGAGGTTTGATAGAGGGAGGGTAAATGGCGGGACTACACCTACAGAGCGTATTGCAAGGGTACAATTCAAATCTATCAATAGAACATAAATGTCTTAACACAATAATTAAGTAAATGAGTTGAAAGCTATGTTGATTAGTTTGATGTAAGCATTCCAAATTGCATAAAAAATCAACACATTGTACCCCACAAATGCATAAATGTATTCATGATCCATGTGTATATGACTTAATAAAAGGAAATAAAAATAGAACTACCATATGATCCAGAAATCCCTCTATTGGGTTTCCTATCCAAAGGAAAGGAAATCAATATGTCAAAAAGATAGATATCTATGCTTCTATGTTCATTCTGGCTTTTTTCATGATAGCCAAGATATGGAATCCACTGAAGTGCCCATGAATGTATGAATGGATAAAGAATATGTAGTATACAATATATACACAGTGGAATACCATTCAGCCTTTAGAAAAGGGAAATCCAATCAATTGTGACGGTGTGAATGAACGTGGAGACCATTACATTAAGTGAAATAATCCATACTCAGACAATACCACATGCTCTCACGTGTATATAGCATCTAAAAAAGTCAAACTCAAAATCAGAGAGTAAAATGGTGGTTCCTAGGGGCTGGGGCGGTGGATGGTTTGGGAAGATCTTGGTCAAAGGACACAAAATTTCAGTTACATTGGAGGAATAAATTCAAGAGATCTGTTGTACAACATGGTGACTATAGTTAATAACGGTGCATTGTATACTTGCAAATTGCTGAGACAGCAGATTTTAGGTGTTCTCACCACAAAGGCATGTTAAGTATTTGAGGTAATGCATTATGTTCATTGGTACAATTTAGCTATTCCACAGTGTAGACATACTTGAAAACATCATATTGTATATGACAAATACATACAATTTTTATTTGCCAGTTAAAAATATATTTTATAAAAGTTCTCCAGCAGATATGAACATGAAGCCTTGAACTAAGCATCCTAGGCTTAAGGGAATTTTACTTGGAGAATGAATTCACTTCTAGACTGTACCAAGGAAAAACTCAAAGAAAAAGGCATAATTTTAGCTCCAGGATGAGGAAGTTTGAGGCACTAGATAAATTAGACTTGAGGGAGCTTTTTACTATAAAGAACATGATATTTGGCCAGCATGGTGGTATGGGGTTATAATCCTACCTACTTGGGACACTGAGGCAGGAGGATTGCTTGAGCCCAGGAGTTTGACTCCATCCAGAATAGCTAGAGTTTGGGGGTGGACCTGTGCGATTATAGTTCATGTTTCCGGTTGAAGAACATTCTCCTAATTCTGACTGAAGGAATGAATACATATCTTGTTAGGTTAGGGGATCTCAGGAGAGCCAAAGTTCAAAGTGATTAGCCAGGAAAACTTATAATAAACTTGTAAAATTTTGTTACTATGCAGAAACTTAGAAACTATCTAGTCCAACTCTTTCATTTTACAGTTGGGGAAACTGAGGCCTCCAGAGTGGAAGTGCATTTTCCAAGGTTAGGCAGCAACTCAGTCTCCACCACCCAGTTTGCTTAACTCTGCTCAAGGCTGGAATTGAAGAATGCAGTTTTTTTTTTTTTTTTAATTTAAACCACAGACTTCATGCACAATCTTGGGCAAACCATTTGGATTCCAATTATATTAAAATGGGAGTAATAGTTAACAATTTCACTGAGCTGGGCTGTTTAGTAATTAAGGTTGCTGTTAGCAAAGGTCACAGTCTGGCGTGGATTGCACTGGCCTCTGTGGGGGGTGTGTATGACATTTCTTTAGATCGGTAGACTCCCCCAAGTGATGGCCACAGCTCTGAACCCTGCTGGTCCATGTGCAACAGGAAGACGTGTGGCACGCAGAACGACAAAATTCTCTGCTCACAAGCACCATTGTCCTTCCTTCCTTTTCAGCTGCAGTCTGGCTTCCGTAAATACCGAATTAATTCCTTAACGACCTCTCTGTGCTACATCAAGCTGATACTTTTCATTCTTCACTTTATTTGACTTCTTAGTAGCTTTCAGCATTACTGATTACTTCTTCTTGAGTTATTCTTTTCCCTTGGATTCCATAATTACTATATTCACCTGCTTGTCCTCCATCCCCTTCTTTTCTTTCCTTGTTTGTCCTACTTACAGATTCATCCTCCTTTATTCAGCCAGCACGTGTTCCTCCAGTAATCCATATCAAATTGTGTCCCTTTGTTCTCCTAAATATCTCTCATATTCATCCACCTCTCTCTAATTTTACTTCTGTTACCCTTGTCTGATATGCCATTATTTCTTGCCTGGACTCCTGGGCTTGATAAGAGTATAGAACAGAGGGGAAAATTCTATTCCAGGTTATCAACTCAGGGTGAAATGAACAGCTAGGTCTGGAAGCCCTGTCTATTAACTTCTTGCCATGGGCCTTTGTTCTGTCTATTGAAACACTGAGAGAGTTGAACTAGATCTTTATAACTCCTTCTGTAACTCCAGTAGTCTCTGCTCTACATTGTTCAAAACTCAAGAGGAACCATTTACAAGCACCTCCCTCCCAACAAATGACACTATAATTGGAATACATAGCCCTTTATAATTCACCTTGAAAGGCAATAGGTGAGACCCTAACATTATTTACAGATACAAAAACTAGAGGAATGACAGACTCATGTTCCAAAAAAGATCTCAAGAGGCATGAATGTTGACTCAAATCTAACACACTGAAGTTTAATACAGATATAAGTAAAGTCTTGCATATCTGGGTTGCTCAAATGCAATTTTGTATGAGTATTGAAAGAAACGGAGGATATTGAGCTTAGAGAACCGAATGTTCAAGGGGGTATGAGTTGTCTTTGAAAATATGAAAGATATCAAAGTGGGTGAAAGTTCAGACCTGTTTGGTTGGGCGTTATGAGGAAGCTATAGAGAAGCAGATTCTGCTTAGTCATAACTGTCCAAGAGACAGCAGGGTCGTGGATTTCCTGGCGCTGGAGGGTTTGGGCAGAGGAAGTGTTGCAAAGGGATTCATGTGTAGGATAGATGAAGGGTCTAGGCCAGCCATTTTCAACCTGTGGGTCTCGAGCCCTTTGTAACAATGAAAATACATCCTGCATGTCAGATATTTATATTGCAGTTCATAACTGTTACAAAATTACAGTTATGAAGTAGCAATGAAAATAATTTTATGATTGGATCACCAAAACATGAGGAACTGTATTAAAGGGTTGTGGCATGTGGAGGCATTAGAAAGGTTGAGAACCACTGGTCTAGGCAATCTTAATTGCTTTTACTTTTGAGACAGTAAATCTGTACTCTTAATTGTGGGCCCTCAGCTTGGCCTGGCCTTCTACCTTCAGCAGTGCAAACTTGTGCCCTCCTTGGCATGGACAGAATAATAGAGATTATAGCCAACCATGCTTGCCATAATTGGGAAAGCTTTAAAAACAATCCCTTATTCTGATTTTTGCAAGGATATGTAGTATTATCCCCATTTAACACATTAAGAAATGAGGCCATTACTTGCTTGGGGTCAGAGTTGGAGATAGTGCCTGTCCTTTTTTTTTTTTTTTTTTTAAAGCTTTTTATTTCTATTTTTGTTTTTTCCATTTCTGGCTGCAACTGAAAGTCTTTGAAGGGTTAAGTGAGAATTTGACTTGAACTTTACATTTTCAGCAAACTCCCCCCCAAACAAACAAAATACAACCAAAACAAAACAAAAACTTCTGCGCCCTTAAGAATTTCAACCATAAAAATGTATTTTTTTGGCTAGGGCCAGGTTCAAACCTACCACCCCCGGTATATGTGGCCAGCGCCCTACTCCTTGAGCCACAGGAACCGCCCAAAATGTATTTTCTTTTTCCCTTTGTTTTTGTTCTTTAAACAATAAATGAAGAGACATGGACATGTCTATGTGTTAAAATCTTTTGCTTCAAAAATAGTCAAGTTACCTTAAAATTTGAATACTAGAAAACTATGAGCTACCTTCTGAAAAAGTGTATCCTAATTTAAAAGAACTTTATTTAAGAAACAACAGTGAAAAGGAAATAATAACTTTATTGAGCTATAATTCACATGCCAGACAATTCGCCTGCTTAAGGGGTATAATTCAGTGGATTTTAGTATGTACACAGAGTTGTATAACTATCACCACAACGAATTTTAGAAAGTTTTCATAAACTCATAAAAAATGCTATGCCTGTGAAAGAAATTAGCAGTCCCTTCCTACTTCACTGTAATGGCCTCGACTTAGGAAACTGGTAATATATTTTCTGTCTCTGTAAATTTGCCTATTCTGGATGTTTATTATAAATATAATCCTATGATGTTTGTTCTTTGTGACTGGCTTCTTTCACTTAGAATAACGTTTTTGAGGCTCATCTGTGTTATACTATGTGCTTATATTTCATTCCTTTTTGTTGATTGATAGCATTCCATTGCAAGTTTGCTTATTTATCAGTTGCCCGTTTTGTTTATTCATTTATTAGTTGTGAACATTTGTGTTGTTTCCACCTTTTGGCTATTATAAATAATGCTGCTATGAGCATTCATGTTTGGGTTTTTGTGTGGTTATATGTTTTCATTTCTCTCAGGTAGATACCTAGGAGTAGAGATAACTAGGTATATCAAATAGTCAACTCTATGTTTCACTATTTGAAGAAACGTCACATTATTTTCCAGAGTGGTTGTACCACTTTATATTCCTCTCTCTGCACATCTCTACTTATAGCTGTTATTATCTGTACTTTATTTAATTTTATTGTTTTAGTATGGCCATCCTAGTGAATGCAAAGTAGTATATCATTGCGGCTTTAATTTGAATTTTTCTGATGTCAAGCTTTTTTTTTTTAATGTCATTATTGACTATTTGTACATCCTTGGAGAAGTATCTATTCAGATCCTTTGCTATTTTAGGTGGAATTTTTTTTATTGAGTTATAGGAGTTTTTAAAATATGTTCTGTTTACTAGACCCTTATCAGATATACAATTTACACATATTTTCTCCCATTCTTGGGCTCTCTTTTCACTTTGTTGAGACCCTCATCTTTTGAATCCTAGTTTAAATCTCTTTCTGCTGTATCATGAATCTTTTGGGTAAGAGACTGTATAAAATTCTCTGATGGGAACACATGCACACACCCCCATCTACAACTTCCACCATTACCACCACCTGCATCGTTATTGTCCTTATCAGCCAGTTGCAAAGTATTCACCTCATAAATATGGTGTCTTTAGCTTCTCATTGGCTGCTGTGAGAATATAATATAATAAATAATATAATTGTATGTCCACTTCTTAAAACTTCTAGTCCTTCTGGAAATGTAAATTAGAGAACAAGGCATGGTTTCAGTAGGCAAACAAACCTTGAGCCTTCATATTTTCAAAGTAAGAAAGAGCTGAGGGTGTTGCATGTGCCACTCAGAATCTGTTTCTCTTCCAGGACTGCGAGGCCTGATGCTGTCTGTCATGATGGCCTCTCTCATGAGCTCCCTGACCTCCATCTTCAACAGCGCCAGCACCCTCTTCACCATGGACATCTACACCAAGGTGCGCAAGCAGGCGTCCGAGAGAGAGCTCATGATTGCAGGAAGGTAAATGCAGCTTCCCTCTGCCGTGTGCCACTGAACTTGAATGATCAGAGAGGTTCCGTCTGTGCTATCCATCTGAGCTGGGGGAGGCTGGCAGGTGCCTGAGTGTCATGAGAGTAACCTCTGTGGCTGGTTACATTTGCCCCTCAGTGGCATTTCATTTAAATTAGAGATCACTCGATCTGACCTCAGCAAATGGTGGGATCACACCTATGGTGCATAATGCAAGGGTAAGTGTCAGATTTGTTAGTATAGAGTATAAATGTCTTAACACAATTAAGTAAATGAGATGAGGTATATACAAAAAAAAAATAAATTGGAGATCACTGTACAGTGCCCCTCTGGAGTTAGAAGGCCATAAAAGATCATCTAATCTAACCTTCAGGTTATCAACTTGCAAAATAAGGCTCATGTTGCTTAAAGTCAAACAGCCCGGACAGTGAAGGACTAGGATCGGGATCTGTGGCCAATTGAGTTTTTGTCCCAGGTTCTTTTTTTTTTTTTTGAGACAGAGTCTCACTATGTCACCCTTGGTAGAGTGCTATGGCATCACAGCTCACAGCAACTTTAAACTCCTGGGTTCAAGTGATTCTCTTGTCTCAGCCTCCTGAGTAGCTGGGACTACAGGCGCCTGCCACAATGTCCAGCTATTTTTTTGTTGCAGTTGTCATTGTTGTTTAGCTGGCCTGGGCCAGGTTCAAACCTGCCACCCTTGGTGCATGTGGCCGGTGCCCTACTCACTGAGCTATGGGCACCGAAGTGTCCCAGGCTCTTTATACTGCCTTGTGCTGCCCTTTCTCGCTCTCCACTCTGGCCTTCTTTGAGGCCCTTTGATGCCTTGACCATTTGATACAACATTTTGCAGGTCCACTGTGAAGATCATAATGAGACTGTGATTCTGAATAGGTTCTACAGAGTCTAAAATACAAACCTATATGTGCGTTTATTGTAGTCAGACGGGCTAATAGACACAACAGTGTAATAAAACCAGGCCAAATGTGATCACTACCATGATTACCCCTGGGCAGATACATCGGATAGAGGCTTCACAGGAGCTCTGCTGTGTCTCTCCAGGGGGCTATGGCCGGTTGACCTCCTTAGGGCAGGCAGAGGGAGTCCCTGAGGTGTCACTCAAGGTTCCCAGAGAGTGCAGGGAGGGCGTGAACTGCTACCTCGTTGCTCTCATCAGCAAGATTAGGGCAAACGATGAAAAGGAAATATGGCAGTCCGCTTTCAGGGGCCAAGACGCCTGGCACAGAGGGGAGAGCTGACCATGCCAGAGTCTCCACTTCTCTGCACTGTAGGAAGCAACACTGTAACTTTGGCTGCTTCCTTGGAATTGCATTTACTGATTTTTTTCCTGTTACTTATGTGGCTCAAATGTGAAATGGGAAAGAAAACCATTTTGTTGCTTTGCTAGTGGCCCTGAGACTATGTAGGGCCTCACATTTTGGGGTGTCCCAGAGCTATGGCCCTGGGACTTATCCCAGTCATGGATAAGCTCATAGTGATGTGAGATTGTTTTAGACTCTGCCATGGGGACTGCAAGAGCAATCGGGGCTCTGATGAGGGAGCGATAGCACAGCTGACTGTGGTGTAGTTGGCGGAGGGAGAACCTGAGCTGAGTACAGTATGTAGGTAGGATTTGGGTAAGTAGAGGACAGTGGGAAGGGTATTCCAGAGGGAGATATACATGAGGGAAACACTGCTATGTGAAGGTCAGTTGATGATTCTTTTGCCTTAAAATCAGATGAGTGCAGTAAGGGGTTCACAGCCTTCTAATTAAATCATGAGCACCAGTACTGAATGCTTGCAGAAGACTTTCTAATCTTTTTAGGACCTAAAGTACAACCCATGTGGAAGAAAGCTGCAAAAATGTGGGCATGTCTCTTCCTACTTAGATTATTCCTTTATAAACTCTTCTTTGCTAGTGTTTTTAACTTCATTATGAAGAAAAGTGAGGAGAAGAAGAAAATCCTGATAGTTTTTACTCTTTGTAGAGTTCCTGCTATTTGCAAGGTGTTTATGACAACTAATCCTTATTCCCAACTTTGCAAGGTCAACCACATTCTCAGTTTACAGATGGAGAACTTGAGACTCAGAGAGGTTAGGAAACGTGTCCTGTGTCACGTAGAGAGAATAAGAATTTGAATCCAGGACTGTCTGGGTCCAAAATTCATACCTTTTCTCATAATCTATTGCATCTCAAAGTGGGAATCTTCCATGCCTAACTGCCTGGGCCTATGTTACTATTGAAAGCCAAGTGACTTTCTCTTACTCATGGGCACAGATGACTTTTCTATATGAAGAATATGGAAGAAAAAAAGCTCAAAAGTAAACGTGATGATTATTCTGTTTGCCGTGTGGCACATATGCTTGGCATGTAGTGATAGGCGTTTACTTGTGCAGGGTTGTTTTCTGACACTGTTGTGGGGCTTTGATTTCAGGCTGTTCATCCTGGTGCTGATCGGCATCAGCATCGCCTGGGTGCCCATTGTGCAGTCAGCACAGAGCGGGCAGCTCTTCGATTATATCCAGTCCATCACCAGTTACTTGGGACCACCCATTGCTGCTGTCTTCCTGCTTGCTGTTTTCTGGAAGAGAGTCAATGAGCCAGTAGGTATCATGTCCAGAAAAGCTATTCTGGCACAGAAATCCTGACGTGGGTTTGTATTTTCTCTGTGGGAAAGATCCTATTTCCTAGAGACCCTCAGCAAAATGGATGTGATGCTGAGAGTTTGCAGGGGAAGCCTCCAAGGACCACCAGGCTCTCTCTCTGTTGGGGCAAACTCCTCGAGAATTGGTACAGGGTTTCCACTCTCTCTCCCTGTCCTCCTTGCTATAGGTTCGCAACTAAGATTGTACATTTTCTTTTCTTTCTTTCTTTCTTTTTTGAGACAGAGTCTCACTATGTTGCTCTGGGCAGAGTGCCATGGCGTCACAGCTCAGCAACCTCAAATTCTTGGGCTTAATTGATTCTCTTGCCTCAGCCTCCTAAGTAGCTGGGACTACAGGCACCCACCACAACACCTGGCTGTTTTTGGTTGCAGTTGTCATTATTGTTTAGCTGGCCTGGGCCAGGTTCAAACCCACCAGCCTTGGTGTATGTGGCTGGCACCATAACCACTGTGCTATGGGCACTGAGCCACATTGTACATTTTCTATCCATTCTTGGTCATTTTGATCAGACTACCTTCTTTCTTAAGAGAATGCACTGCACCCCCTGGGAAGTGTGTTCTCTGGGTGATCAGCTCCAGAGAAGAAGGCACAGGGTACCTCTGGTACTCTGCTGTGAACTTGGCCTTTCAGCCAGCAGTTTTTAGGGCCCAGCAAAGACTAAGTCCTGGTGCTCAAGAATTTTATATGTAAAACAGTATAAAGCACATAATGATAGAGGGATAAACTATAACACATAATATAAAAAGGAAGAGATTCAGGAAAAGATATATCAGGATTAAACCTGACAGTTTATTCAACTGGTTAGAGAACTAGATACACATTTTGGGATAAGTTTCCATAGGGATTGGCAGGAAGCTGGATCACTGGGAGATTTCTAAAATACAAGTTTGGAGGGTGTGTCCAAAAGCCCTACTGGGTATTATAGCAAGCCATAAGCAGATTCCGGTCAACAGTAGACCGGGGCTTTCAAAAAGTAAGGCTAAGAATTGGGATAGATGCTAGCAATTCTCACCTGGGGGTGATTTTTGCCTTCTCCACCCAGGGGGATGTTTGGCAATGTCTGGAAACATTATTGATTGTCAAGGTCTGGCGAATGCTCCTGAGATCCAGTGGGTGGAGGCCAGGAATGCTGCTAAACATTCTACAATGCACATGACAGCCCTCCCCCCACAACCCCTGAGAGAATTATCTAGCCTAAGTGTCATAGTGCCAAGGTTCAGAAAACCTGGGATAGAATCTCCAGGGAGTAGCAAGTAGAGACCACAAGGTGAGCCCTGGGCCTGGCCAGGTATTGTGTTAGTGGAGAGGTGACTCTAAGTCTTGAGGAAAATATCAAAGGCTACCAGATTTTTTAAGAGCCTTTTGAGAATGAAAACTAAAGGAGTAGAAAAAGGCTAATTTCCAAAAGATAAGGAATGCCTCAGCAAGTTTTATCAACACTACTCACACAAACTAAAATCAACAATATTTTTTTTAGTAAATTGGTATATGGTGGATGAATGGGAAACACATTGCTCCTTTATTCCTTGTGTATTTCTCCATCTGGCATACAGTTCCAGATGCCAGCATAGGAACTCACCACATAAAGTGAATGAAACTTGCTCCTTTTCCTGGGCAAACTCCCAGTCTGGACAGGGAGACAGAGAAGTGAATCATTGATTACAGAGCAGTGGGGTTGGTGTTGGATTGGTGTGTCCACAGTGATGTGGCCACAGCGAGGACAGCGTGCCTACCCAGTTCTGTCTAGCTTGTTCTGTTTAATCTAGGACAATGTTACTAGGAGGGAAGAGTTCTTACTCTCTCAGACAGAAAGAATGATCTATGCAAAGACCCAGAGACATGATTACACACGGCACAGGTACAGACTAGCTGGTGATTTTGCACACTTACAGTATGAAGTGTAGGGGTACCACTGGCTAACAAAGCTGCTGAACAGCATTTGACAAAATGAAGAAGGCTCTTTTGGGTCACCCTTCTAAAAGAACACACTCTACCCCTTTAACATGTGGCCTCTAGTCTTAGGCCTGACCGAAAAGAAAGAAGGAAGAAAGGAAGGAAGGAAGGAAGGAAGGAAGGAAGGAAGGAAGGAAGGAGAGAGTTAATTTAAAAAACCCTAACAATTGTTCCCTAATGTTTCTAGTCTCTTAAAAGTCTTCCGTATTTCTAATACGCAATCCCAAAACTTAATGTAAAGACACAGAGTGTCATTTTATGTTCCCATGAAAAAATTTTATGTTCTAACCTTCTTGGGGAGGATGAGGCAAAAAAGTAGAGGGGAGAGAAATGGCAGCTCTAGGTAGTTTGTAAAATAGTCCATAGAGGAGGCTGAAGAAGGAAGCATTATTCATATATGTTCATATTCACAACTCCCCACACATGTACAGGGTGGCCATAAAGTTCATGTGCAATTTAAAAGAATCGACTATTTAAATTGCATATACAGGGTGGCCACAAAGTTTGTGTGCAATTAAAAATAGTTGTGCATGAAATCTATGACCACCCTGTGTATATATGAATAATGCTTTTATTTTAAAGACACAGTCTCACTTAGTCACCCTGGGTAGAGTACTGTGGCCTCCTAGCTCACTGCACCCTCAAACTCTTGAGTTCAAGTGATCCTCTTGTCTTAGCCTCCTGAGAGGCTGGGACTAAAGGCACCTGTTGCAATACCCAGCTAGTTTTTCTACTTTAAGTAGGTTCTCACTTTTGCTCAGGCTCGTCTTGAACTCCTAAGCTCAAGCAATCCTCCCTGCTTGGCCTCCCAGAGTGCTAGGATTATAGGCATGAGCCACTGCACCCGACTGCATTATTTATATTTTGATAGAAAAGTTTCTATCTCCTTATCCTTCAAAGACTCAATTTCTTTTTTTCCTCCTACATCTTTGTGGAATACAAATTAATTCACAGTGATGATTACCTAAATCTGGAGATTGGTGGTAATAGTAGCTGCTGGCAGAGAGGCTCAAATTATTTTTTAGGTTAAAGAGAATTTTTAGGATTAAGACTTTCGGTTGACATTCTATTCCAATTGTTAGACACTTATATTTTGAGTCCTTGTTTTATGTTTTAGGTGAAATCATGTTGAAATACAATAGACAGACACATGAAAGGCCTCACCTAACACTCCCAGCCATGTTCTGAACTCCAGTGTTCTGGGTTCAGATGGCCTGGAGCTACCATTTCTCTCACCTCTGTGCTATCCAAGAATGTGAGAATGCCCAGCTGTTCTGTGTGTTCAGTATTAGCTAACCCAGGACTTTCTTCCACAGGGAGCCTTTTGGGGACTGATCCTAGGATTTCTGATCGGGGTTGCCCGTATGATCACTGAGTTTGCTTATGGAACTGGGAGCTGCATGGAGCCTAGTAACTGTCCCACGATTATCTGCGGGGTACACTACTTGTACTTTGCCATCCTCCTCTTTGTCATTTCCATCATCACCATTGTGATCGTCTCCCTCTTGACCAAGCCCATCCCAGATGTGCATGTGAGTATCCACCTGGGGGACCTGTTCTGCCCTTGTTTCAAGTCAATGCTGTAGCACGCTTGGTTGGCCTCAGCTCAGTTAAACATCTCACGCTCACAATTAAAACTGTCCATACTTACCACTGGTTTCATGTGGAAAGACAGCAGGCGGCATCAAGTACATGACTTTAGTGGGAGTCCTCAGAGCAGTCTGCACTTCAGTACAGAGGCCGTTCTCTGGATCTTGGTCCCAAGTGACAGCTCAGGTGCAAGGGAATGAGATCACGTGGGCAGGCACAGGGATACCTTGGCTTAGAAACCCACTTTTCCAAATAGGAACTGACATTCCTTTTATAGTCCCATGGTCAATGCTGTCAGGGATCTTGGAGAGGGACATGCTTGCTATAAAAATCACTACGCTTAGGGAAACACCAAGTGTGGTTTACCTCTGGATTATTTTTTCCCGTTAAGTCACTAAACAGTTGCCCATAGAACTCAAGATACTTCCAACAATATCAAAGCCCAATTGACTCAAAATTTTAAAAAAATGACAATTACTGTTCTGTAGCTCTAGCTACCACCATTGGTATAGGGTTCATTAATAGCTCTTTCCATATAGATAAAGACTACCAAATTAGGGGCTATTTCTACCATAAGCAATATAGTCTGGTGACCTAATGTAGATGACATTCTGCTTTTTTCAGGTTTCCAAGGGAACAGAGCTAAGCTAACCTAAGGTCATATTTACCCATAGAGAAAGATGAACACTTTATTCACACATGCACAAATATAAGAGCCTATGCAATCCCTAGGAGACCTTCACCCCCATTGCCAAATTTTTAAGAGCTGTGATAAACCTTAATGCCTTAATGTCTAATAAAGACTGCCTTTACAGCAGCAGAGCCACAGTCACATCTATTGGCTGGATGTGTCACAGGATTCCTTTGTGATGTATTAACTGCTTTGAAAGTCTCACAGCCACAAACACACTTGGCTCTGTGCTCCTTGAAGTGGGAAAGCAAGGTGGTCGTCAAAGGCATGGTTGGGGAGAATGCCTTCCACTGAGCTTCAGACTTCTTCAAGTTCCTGCTTCATGCTCTAGACTATGTTAATAAAACTGTGACACCAACTCTAACTCTACCCTCTTCTAATATAACTCGTGATTCTACAGATTTCTTAAAAAAGAAAATTAAGTGTGTTTTAGCTGCATTTTTTATACTCTATTTAAAAAAAATTTAATAGATTTAGGGAGTACCTATATCTATTTGAATTCCTTTATTTTCCTTTCTTTCTTTTTTTTTTCGTGGCTGGGCCGGGGTTGAACCTGCCACCTCTGGCATATGGGGCCGGTGTCCTACTCCTTTGAGCCACAGGTACTGCTCTCCCTTTCTCTTTTTTTTTTTTTTTTGAGAAAGAGTCTCACTCTGTCGCCATGGACAGACTACCTAAATCTAGTTGAATTCTATTCCCTGTACCCATCACCTGAGTAGTGTACCTTGTCTTCATACACCTGTGATTTTCCACCCCTCCTCCTTCCAGTCTCCTTTTTGTGAGTCTTCATTGTCCATTTTTCTACACTTCCACAGATTCTTATCCCCATCACTTGGCGTAGTACAGAAATCTGAACTTACACTGCTGGTCTAGACAAAGGTCTGTCTAGTCTTGTTTCCTGTTATCCATAGTAAAGAAACAAATTCATTTATCACATGTGAAAAAAGATTCATTCATTCAACAAACATTTCTATGTTTGAGGCAGTTGTTCCCTTGGCCTCTGAATATGCATATATCATAAGGGCATACATATGTTGTATCATCTACATCTAAGCTCCCAACATAATTTCTTCCTTTTTTTTTTTTTTTTTTTTTTTTGAGAAAGAGTCTCACTCTGTTGCCCTGGGTAGAGTGCTGTGGTGTCATCATAGCTCACAGCAACCCCCAACTCTTGGGCTCAGCCGATCCCCTTCCTTCAGCCTCCCAAGTAACTGGGAATACAGGTGCCCACCACCATACCCAGCTAGTTTTTCTATTTTTTAGTAGAAGACAGGGGTCTCACTCTTGCTCAGGCTGGTCTCAAACTTGTGAGCTCAAGCAATCCACCTGCCTTGGCCTCCCAGGGTGCTGGGATTCGGGTGCACCTGGCCCATTCTCCTTTCTTGATGCATATCTCTTTATTCCTTCAACTCCTTGTCCCAAAATGTTCTTTGGATCTTCCTGTTTACTGGTTCTGCTTTCCCTCCAGCTCTACCGTCTGTGTTGGAGCCTCCGTAACAGCAAAGAGGAGCGTATTGACTTGGATGCAGGAGAGGAGGACTTCCAAGAAGCCCCAAAGGAGGCCTTTGATATAGGTGATTTATGGCCCCAAACCAACGCCCAAAACATACAAAGTTAATCCTGTAACAGCAAGACAACTTGGCTGAAGCCTTCACTAAACGCCTTTATCAAAACTTCAATCTCTCCCTTATGACAGAGTGAGGAGTGGGGTGGGGGATGGGATGAATAAATAGCTCTTAGGAATTAACTCCTAAGAGTTTGAGGCCCCACCAAGGGGAAGAGGGAGGTGCAGAATCATTCCAGCTTCCTCGTTGCTGGGTGTTGGTAAGGAATTTGCCACTTTGCCTTGATTTAGGGCGTGGCCACAGATAGAAGAAGAGTCAGAGCTCTTCTGACATAGCCCATGAGCTGACAGCAGATGACATTAAAGCTATGATTTGTTCTAGGACATTGATGGGATAGAATAGAGGCCCCGAGGATCTTATGTCCTACTGTCTTGCAGTATCAGATTTCAAAAATCAAATTTCTCTGGCAGCCTGATAAGATAGTATTTAGTCAGTGCCCAGAGATATATCCTTAAAGTTAATGCTTTCTTTTTCTTTTCTTTCTTTCTTTCTTTTTTTTTTGGCAGTTTTTGGCCGGGGCTGGATTTTGAACCCACCACCTTTGGTATATGGGGTCAGTGCCCTACTCATTTGAGCCACAGGTGCCACCCTCTTTTTTTTTTTTTTTTTTTGAGACAGAGTCTCACTATGATGCCCATGGTAGAGTGCTGTGGTGTCACAGCTCACAGCAACTTCAAACTCTTGGGCTTAAGCCATTCTCTTGCCTCAGCCTCCCAAGTAGCTGGGACTATAGGTGCCAGCCACAATGCCTAGCTATTATTTTGTTGTAGTTGTCATTGTTGCTTGGCAGGCCTGGGCTGGGTTTGGACCCTCCAGCCCTGGTGTATGTGGCTGGTGCCCTAGCCTCTGAGCTATAGGTGCTGAGCCCCAAAGTTAATGCTTTCTTTGACTTCAGCATTGCCAACTTTTCCTCCCTACACGGGAGAGGTGCACACATGGCGTTTGGTTGTGGAGGTTTGTAGCATGCACCACTGTGGGAACTCAGGGTCAATGTGTGCTTTACCTGGTACTGGGCTGGAAATCTCAGTGCTCCATCTGAAGGAAAGGACAGTTGCAGCAGAATGAGTTCTGTCTGAGCCTGGCCGTTGGGAGCATCATAGAATCCTAGCTCTGGAAAGGGTCCTCAAGATCCTTTAGTTTTATCACCTCAATTTACAGACATGTAAGTTGAGCCTTACGGGGAAAGGGTTTGCTTGTGGTCCCAGCTCAGATACAGTCTGCTCTCCATCTTCTAGGACCTTTCAGTTCTGAAACCTGCGACTGACTCAGCAAGGGTTAGAGGGAAGTGTGGAGCCAAGGGCAGCTGACCAAGGTGCTGAAAACAGGCAGCCTTCCTGCTTTCCTGGAGCAGACAGGCTTTAATATGCCCTCCCCTCTTCCTGCCTTCACATATGTACCCATGCTGAGTGAGAGTAACATAGATTTTATTTTTATTTATTTATTTATTTTTTGATACAGGGTCTCACTATCTGGCCCTTAGAAGACTGCTGTGGCATCACAACTCACAGCAACCTCAAACTCCTGGGCTTAAGTGATTCTCTTGCCTCAGCCTCTCAAATAGCTGGGACTACAGGCACCCGCCACAATGCCCAGCTATATTTTCTTGCAGTTGTCATTGTTATTTAGCTGGCTCGGGCTGGGTTTGAATCCGCCAGCCTCTATGTATGTGGCTGGTACCGTAACCACTGTGCTACAGGCTCCGAACCAACATAGATTTTAAAGGGACATGGATGAGGAGTATTTTGAGTGTTGAGAAGTTTTAATGTGGAAGAGTAGATTATTTCTGCAACTAGAGGGCAGAGACTTAAGACTGGTGAGTGGAAAGAACACATCCAATTTTAACTCAGAAAAAGGAGTGAGGTTTGGAATCAGAGAGAATTGGGATTGAATCTTGACTTCTGTTTTAAAACTGCTCTGGGAAAGTTATTTCATTTTTTACACTTCAGGTTCCTCATGTAAAAGTTTATTTTTAAATTTTATTTATTTAAAAATTTTTTTTTTAGACAGAGTCTTACTCTGCAGCCCTGAGTAGAATGTCATGGCATCATCACAGCTCACAGCAATCTCAAATTCTTGGGCCTTGAGCAATTCTCTTGCCTCAGCCTCCAGAGTAGCTGGGACTACAGGTGCCCAGCTCTATGGCTAGTTAGTTTTTCTATTTTTAGTAGAGACAAGGTCTCACTCTTGCTGAGGCTGGTCTCGAACTCCTGAGCTCAAGCAATCCACCTGTCTCCGCCTCTTAGGGTGCTGGGGTCATGCAAAAGTATTCTAAATGAAAGCTGCACCTCATAGTATTTGGAAACATGAGGTAATGCACCACTCTAACAGCTGGGTGAAACTGTCACCATCATGATTGCTTTGAAGAATGAGCTTTCTAGCTGAGTTGGTCTGGAAAGGGATGAGCAGGAAGTGTGCATCTATCAAAGATGCTGGAGAGGGAGGGGACTTCCACACTGGCTTGGTGAGCCCTGAGGTTCTCAGGGCAGCACTTGAATTCTTTTGTTTCTTGATGAACTCACAGTGAAATCAGGTGAACACCCTCCCCTACTAATGCACAATAAACTAAACTCTCTTGAGGGCTTTTTATAGTTCCTGGGTGTCCTACTCACCATTCTCTGAGAAAGTGCGTGGGGAAGGTTTGCTGTGACATCCTCATCCTGTATCACCACTGTCATGACTGATCATAAATACCCTGCTCTAGTTTACTGACTCATTTCAGCACCTTATCATCCTTTTAAAGCAGATAATGCAAGTATAATTCTTCCAATTTTATGGGTGAGGAAAATGAGACATAGAGACTTCCCCAAGACCACCCAACATTTTAATTGACTCAGGTAACCTTCTATTTCTCACTCGAGCTGGTCAAGGAGCCCAGCTTCTTGCTCCTTCTTCCTCATTCTGCTATTTAGGTGGAGTGAGTCAAAGAGAAGAGGTACAGGGGGGTCCCCTCTCTTATGTGTGTGATAAAAGAGTGAGAATGGAAGAAGGCTATGAATTGGGTGCTCTCTCATTAAATCATTAAGTTACATCTTCATTAGTATAATGACGAAGGTATGATTTATCCAATTTTACGGACACCTGGAGAAAAGAAAGGTGAATTAACAAGGGCATAAATCTGGGTTTGGGTCCCACTTCTGACACATGTGTGCATTTAAGCACTAAGGTTCCCTCCAGCCCCGAAATTCTGTGACTCTTTCATTGATTTATTTTTTTGAAATGATCTGTATTTATCATACCATCAATAAACCAAAAAATCCCCTGAGTGTGAACAGGAGAAATGTGCTGGTTAAGTTATTCATCATTATCTCATTATTAACAAAATAAAGCACCATCTATGTGCATAGCCATAAAAAAGAAAGAGCCTGGAGAGAAATGGGGGCTTTGGGAAAGGAGAGGGGAGAAGATGGGAGGGCAGGCATAGACTCCACATCTATCCCTGTGGGAGTTGGGGTTCCCTTTCCCACTCTGATCTGAGGATTTTTCCAAATCTTTAGAGTTAGATGCCAATAGGAAATTTCCTTGAGAAAATAATTTGTGAATCTGAGACCTATTTTCTAGTGCAGAGTTGGAGGAGGGGCAGAGTCAGGTGGAAGAGAGTATAGCAACCCCTTCCAAGAATGGGGAGCTCCCCCATGTTCATGAGGGGGGATGCAGCTTCTCCTGCTACCATGGAGAAGCACCTCTCCAGAGCTTCTGTCACTGGCAGGAAGGGAGCACCCTCCTGCCCCCTCTCCTGCAATCAGGTCAGGACAAGGCCTGGGACACTAGGACTCTTTTAAAGAAAACTTTTGGAGTTGTAAAAATGGGAAAATGCAGAGCAGTGGTTTCTGGTCATGGTGCTGAAAACACAGTGGGCTTGGTCTCATAACTACTGAGTGGCAGAGCTGGTATTTCAAACTGGGTCCATCTACCTGCAGTACTATGCCTGGGCTAGAGGAGGGGGACTCAGTTGACACTTTGAGTGTCAGGCCAGTTGCGTGGGTTGATTCAGCACTGCTGATATGCAACATTAGATCTTAAGCCCTGGACGTGCTGATCACCTCTGCCCCAAATCAGAAGCTGTTCAGACCAATACAATTATGTGATTTGACTGTTTTGAATCAAGATGAATTTTCACAGGGCCTGATGGAGATAAAGCTGGGGCTGGCTGGTCTCAAGTGTATAGAATCCATGTATAACACGGTTGTGTAGTTAAATTCAGTTGAACATTTTGCACCATTTTAATTCCTTAAAACAAGGATGTTAGGAAATTTCTGCAGAATGGTAGATGCCACAGGGTATGGCTTCTCCCCTGGAAACTTCTTCTAGTCTCTCTGGTTTTCATGTCCAATAATCCTGGTTTTTATGTCTTTCTTTTGACACAGAAAATCCTGTGGAGAAAAAAGGATGCTTCAGGAGGGCCTATGACCTGTTTTGTGGGCTGGACCAGCAGAGTGGACCCACGATGACCAAGGAAGAGGAGGCAGCCATGAAGATGAAGCTGACGGACACCTCTGAGAAGCCTTTGTGGAGGACAGTGGTGAACATTAATGGCATCATCCTGCTGGCCGTGGCTGTCTTCTGCCACGCATATTTTGCCTGAGTCCTGGATTTTCTGCTGCAGTCTCACCACGGCGGGAATCTTAACTTACCTCCCTTTAATCCTACTCTGTGGTACTGAAGGGAAACCAGGCATTTGTAAATTTCACCCACTTGGATAAATGTGTACATGTGTAATTGTAGCCTAGCTGGCGGAAAATCATTAATTTTCTGTTAACTTATGTATTTGAAGCCAGTGTGATACAATCATTGTACACACTAGAGCTAAGGAAGGAAGGTCCACTCAGTTATATCCAGAAAAAGACAGAGTAAAAAACAGAAGCCTAGTGATGTCCAGGGAAAGTCTGTTTTGTAATCCTTGAGTGTTATTTTAAGAGTTTTGGTGCCTCTGGTTCCTGCCATTTTCTCCGATCTGACTTCCTCCATATCTTTTTTTAGAAAAAACTTTAAGCAATTTTCAATTTTCCCCTCATCCTATTCCTCTCAAGTTTTTTTTTTCCCATTACACGAAAAATCAATGCGATAAATTGGATGAATGCAGATGCAAAGGATGGGAGCTTGATGAGGCCTGAAGAAGGCAAGCCCCAGACAGAGGGACCCAGGCACCAGCTTCAGGCCAGTGTGAGAAGCAGATAATTTTGAGTCCAGGGGATTTTCTGGTCTTCTTAAAAATGCCCATGGTGAGTTCCATCTGTTTGGGATTTCATTCATTTTGACATTGACTGTGCCTGCACTGTCTTAGTCACTCAGTAATCTTTGTTGACTAAGTGAATGATATGGGCATTTATTTAGAAATACTGGTTTTCTTGTTCCATAAGCCTGGCTCTTGGTTAGCCTTTTCTTGTGGCTGCACAAAGTACGCCCTCTGGTGGCTATAATGAATTGGAAGGCATCTGCCAGAGACCATTCTGCCCCCAGGGGCTGAAGCTGACTTAAAATGGGTTTAGCAGCTGACAGCTGTCATTAGAGGGAGAAAATGCACCTGCTGGAGGTGGGTTGGGGGAAGGGCATGTCTATAATCTCAAAGCAGCCCCACCCTCCTGAAACACTGAAATATAATGAGCTGGCTCTCATCCTCCCTGCAAACTCATATGAACACAGTTGTCCTTTTTCTGGTGTCTTGATTGGAAATCGCCAACCAGTAAAGGTTTGAGTAGGTGGTGTGTGTTCCACGTAGCAGGGACCAACCCTTCCAGCTGAGAGGAGTGTATTTCCTGTTGAGTCAGTTTCCCAGGGGGGAAATTCTTTCCTTTAATTTAACTTTAATTCATTCTTTTGATTTCATCTGTGAAATCTCAATTATCTTGTAATATTATCCTCCCATTCAAGTTATTAAAAAAGATCATGATGTTAGTCTTGAATGATTTCAGGATAGCTTAGAAAAGAGCTTGAGAGTGGTCTCTGGATATAAAAATGGTTCAACAGGCACCAGGATGGCTTGTTCTTGTGGAGGGAGGGAAACTCAGACAGCGTTATTTGAAATGCCTTCTCACTGCCCTGAAGCCAGGCAGAGGAGTGGGAAAAGTTAGAATTTCACATGATGAGCATTCCTCAGAGGACCCGGTCTTGGGTGGAGTGTGGAATGTGTTTTCAGCCTTGAGGGTGGAGCTTGTGGGTGGAGTGGACAATGTGAAGAATCTAGATTGTTCTGGATTTGGTTTCTAGCTTTGCCAAGGATTTATTGTGTATATTGTGGTAAATTATTTTGTCTCAATTGTGTATTTTGTTTTTTGTTCTTTTTTTTTTTTTTTTTGAAAAATGGGAACCTTTGTTCTTATAGCATCTACCACCTACCTCCTGTGGTTGTACCAAGGTCACTCTGAAAAGTAGACAGGAGATATGCACGAGGAAAATGCTGTGCAGACGCTATATTAAACTGCAGTATAGTCCCATAAATTAAAATGTGTTACTTTGATAAAATGAAAACATTAACCCCCCCTAACATCCTGACTCCCCTGTTCTCTAGAGAATCTAAACAAACACTAAATATGTCTGTGGTGAGCTTTAGTTTTCACAAGACATGAGTTAAGAAGCAGGAGGACAGGATGGTTGAGAATAGAATCTAACAACCTGAACAATTTAAAGAGAAGTTGTTAAGTTTAGAGATGATTTCAAACATGCAGTGGGTACCTGCATATTGTCCCGTGAGAATAGACTCAGCAAGTTGGGGGCCATAAATGATAGATGATACTAGAACAAATTCAGGGGTGCAGGGAAGAACTATCCTTTTCCTTAAATTGAAGGTGGTGTTACACATGGGGACAGAGTAACTGCTTATTAATGCTCAGTTTATGCAACTCAAAAATCATGATGCTCTATCAGGCAAAAACAAAAAAGCTTCTTTAAATATGAATAACTACTTTATTTATTTATTTATTTATTTAGCAGTTTTTGGCCAGGGCTGGGTTTGAACCCACCACCTGCAGTATATGGGGCTGCCGCCCTACTCCTTGAGCCACGGGCACCACTCTGAATAACTATTTCGAAAGGAATCTCTCAAAATGAAAAGACAGGCCTCCTTTCCTACAGAGTGATGTTGCTCCCGGGGCCTCTGACCTGCCTGCTGCTTGTTTCTGTGCAGCTGAGTCAGGTGCTGGCCTTCACTTAGAGAAATTTCTACTTTTGGAACTCAAAAGAAGGCACTCATTCCTGGTGCTGAAACCATCATCTCCTAAAAGGTGCACTGCAGCTTGTATTTTCTTGTCCTGCTTCACCAAAGCAAACCTTGGGAGAAAAACATAAATGTGCTTGTTTGGAAGAGAGGGGTTTCTTAAGATTCCTCCCCATCCTGCCCCAAGACAATCTCACCTCCACTCCAGATTGTATTTTGGTGAATGAAGTTGTTTGAGCGAGGTGCGTTGTCTTGGCAGGTGTGGATGAACCTGTACTCCCAGGTCCTACTTCAGTGGGGCCAGTGTTGTTTGACTGTTTTTTTTTTTTTTAATCCAAAAATGGAACAATACATCATCATTCATTGGGATTACTAAATCATGACATTTTTTATAATATGTTTCCACAATCAGGCAAACATATTGGTGGAATTTAATCTTTTTTCTTCTTTATTAAATCATAGCTGTGTATGTTAATGTATATATGGGGTACAATGTGCTGGGTTTATATACAATATGAAATACTTTCATTCTACACTTAGTAGATTTAACATGTACCCTTGTCAAATGAGAGGACTTGGGGGGAGTGTCATTCAACTTCAGAGCCTCAGGTTGCATATTCCTAACCCAGCCAACTTCTGTAGCCCTAAGTGAAAGAACAGGCAATGTGATGCAATCCATCTGATGCTTGGAAAACTGGTAGCCAATGCCCATCAGATAAAGAGACCTTCTTTACACCTGAGTGCTCCTGGCACACAAAGGTGCATTTCAGAATCAGACAAAGGGCTTCTTGGGGTGGTGATTCTCAAATGACAGCTCACATTCCCTGGAGAGCTTCTTTATACCCAGATTGCCAGGATGTACACCAGATTTTCCGATTCAGTAGGTCTTGGAATGGGGCCTGAAAATGTGCATGTCTAACAATTTCCCAGATGATTTTGGTGCTGCTGGTCTGGAGACCACACTTTTTTTTTTTATTAGATCATAACTATGTATATTACTGCATTTATGGGTTATAATTGCCAAGTCATGGAGACTATACTTTGAAAATCAGTATTCAGAGGTTACTCCCAAAGGTGTTTCCCAAGGGTGGCAGAACTGGAGAAATCTTTTCTCTAGGCCCTCCTTTGAGATTTTTAGTGATGTCTCAGGGCCAAAAGTCTGAAACCAAAGGTATGTAGGTATGGCTGAGGCACACTGGAATGTCAAGAGACAGAAAAATCCGACCTCATTGGTTTTTAGGGCCCATTTGTTCAATTCTGACCTCCTTCCTAATGTCCAGAGCCTGATTCTTTTTTTTTTTTTTTTGAGATGGAGCCTCAAGCTGTCCCCCTGGGTAGAGTGCCATGGCATCACGCTCACAGCAACCTCCAACTCCTGGGCTCAAGCGAGTCTCCTGCCTCAGCCTCCCAAGTAGCTGGGACTACAGGTGCCCACCACAATGCCTGGCCATTTTTTGGTTGCAGGCTTCATTGTTGTTTGGCGGGCCCGGGCTGGGGATTCGAACCCGCCACCTTAGGTGTATGTGGCTGGTGCCTTAGCCGCTTGAGCCACAGGCGCCGAGCCCAGAGCCTGATTCTTAAAAAAAATTTCATGAATTGACAAAAATTGTGGTGTACAATGTGGTGTTTTGATTTATGTATACATTGTGGAATGACTAAATCAAGCTAATTACACATCTATTACTTCACATACTTTTTTTGGTAGTAGAAGCACTTAAGATCTACCTTTCAGCAATTTTTGAGTGTACGATATATTGGTGTTAACTATAATCACCATATTGTACGATGGATCTGAGTTTATTCCCCTTGTCTAACTGGAATTTTGTATCCTTTGACCAACATTCCCCAAGTCCCTCTCTCCCTTCATCCTTGGTGCCTACCATTCTACTCAGTCTCCATGAGTTCAACTTTTTAGATTCTACATGAAAATGAGATCATGGATTATTTGTCTTGCTGTGGCAAAGCATGGCACTTTACCAAGTTAACTTAAATTTTATTTTATATTTGGTACATCATATTTTATAGATGGTCCTCAAAGTCATTCTCACAGTTGGAAATTTTTGCAGGCGGGGGTGAGGGCACAAAGCACTGATGTTTATCAGTCATCTACTATGGTCTGGGCTCTTTAAGTAATATCAAATGACCTTGCCTAATCTTCACAACAGCTCCACAAGTCTGCATTATACTCAGCAAACACAGTGAGGACTTTGATTATCATGGTGTAGGGGTTGACAGTCCTTCTTTGCTACCACAGAGTCTCCCAGGGCAGCCTTCCAGCAATGACACACTGTTTCTCCTTCAATTCTGAAGATGCTGGAATGGAGGTTGGGTATGGACAAGTGAAGAGACCAAAATCTATTGAGCACCTACTTATTTATATTAACCGAAGTTATATTAATAAATGATATAATCTCAGTGCCTGTAGCTCAGTG